CAGTAACAGCTCTAGTCCAGCGGTCATCTTTAAATCTCATTACGTGACCAGCCCATCCGATTTTTGACACCTTGGCAAATGAGACAGCGTCCCTGATTCTTGATCGTCGACAGATGTCGGAACTCCAGATTTTTTCTCTCATTTGAGTAAAACGTGATATTCCAAGCATAGCTCTTTCTATTCTTCTTTGGGAGACCTGAATAGCATTCTCATCCTGTTTGTGTAGGGCCCAGGTCTCTGAGGCATATGTTAATACAGGAAGAACAGTGGAATCAAAGAGATGTGCCCGGAGCCGGAGGTTCTTCGTCCTCTTAGCTATTTCTTCGACGTTCTTGAAGGCGTTCCAAGCCGCTCTCTTCCTCCTGCGCAGCTCGTGTGCCAGGTCATTTGTCATGTTGACTTCTCGACCTAGGTACACATAGCTGTTGCATTCGGAGATGGTCGTTCCATTGAGAGCGAATGGGGCATCAGGAACGAGGCTGTTTCTCATAAACATTGTCTTCGTAAGATTCAGCTGTAGTCCTACCTTTCCACACTCACGGTCAAAGTCGTCCAGCATTTGTGCCGCTTGGCTGATGTTTGGTGTTAATAAAACAATGTCATCAGCAAAGTGGAGGTGGTGTAATTGCTGACAATCTATCTTCACTCCCATTCCTTCCCATTCCAGTCGTCGCATGATGTTCTCGAGGGTGGCACTGAAGAGTTTTGGTGAAATGGTATCACCCTGCCACACCCCTCTCCTGACATCAACGATCACTTCTTTGTAGAATGGTGAGATCCTGGTAGTGAATCCGCAATACAGCTCACGGAGGATCTTGATGTATTGGGCTTGAATGCCCTGATTGGCTAGGGCTTCAATGACCGCTTCCGTCTCAACAGAATCAAAGGCCTTCTTTAAATCAATGAACGTTAAACAGAGCGGCATCTTGAACTCCCGAGAAACCTCAATGAGCTTGGTTATCGTGTGGATATGGTCAATGGTGCTGAATCCTTTGCGGAACCTGGCTTGCTCGCATGGTTGTCCTTCATCTAGTGTTCTGCCAATCCTATTTAGGATGACTCGAGTGAACAACTTGTAGATGACAGACAATAGGCAGATCGGGCGATAGTTGCCAATGTCATGGATGTCTCCCTTCTTGAACAGTAGTACGGTCCTGCTGGTTTTCCATTGGGATGGAACCTTGCATTCAGACAGGTAGCGAGTGAAGAGCCGAGCCAGTGTATTGATGAGTACTGATGGCAGGTTCTTCAGGTGTTCAGGTCTGACCTTGTCTGGGCCGGGTGCTGTTTGTTTCTTTACCGACAAAATGGCATGTTGGATTTCGGAAGGGAGAACGTTGGGAACGACATATCCATCCTGTGGAATTTGGTATGTCGGCAAGTGGACATGGCTATCGAAGAGATTTGAGTAGAAGTCATGGATAATCTTCTCCATTGCCGTTCTGGAGGATGTGATGGATCCATCAGGACATCGGAGGGCAGTCATCTTGGTCTTGTAGTTGGCGAAGGACAGGCGGGCGTAACGAATTCTTTTCCCGGCTTCTGCCGCATCTACCAGTACTTCTGCTCTTCTCTCTTTGAGGTCTTCCTTGATCACATCTCTGCACTGCTTTGCGAGCTCAGACGTTAGCTTGCCGTTGCCTGAAGCATGCGCCAAACCACACTGGCGAATTAGCTCAAGAGTTTTCGAAGACAGGCGATTTTTTGTGGCTATCTCTCTCTTGGCGTTCCTCGCACATTCATGGAGGTGCTGAACCAGTCGATCGTATTCCTCGTCAATGTTGTCAACAATGGCATCTTCCCATGTTGCCGCAATAGTGCCAAAGAGTTCCCAGTTGGTGGTCGTTCTGGGAGTTCTCTTTTTGAACTTTGCAGCCCTTTCTCCCCGCTCTGTGAAGTAGAATTTTGCACGAAGGAGACGGTGGTCCGATCCCGTTCGAAATTTTGGGACGACAGCGACATCAGTCAGGCAAAACCATCGATTGAATATGATGTGGTCTATTTCGTTGTGGAATCGTCCACCGGGAGACTCCCATGTCCATCGTTTAGATTCTGCCTTCTGGAACTGTGAGTTACCATGAATGGTCTTGGTCGACATGATGAACTCAGACAGTCTCTCACCCTGTTCATTCCATTCTAGGCCATGGGTCCCGATGTGAAGTTCTTCAGCTGATCTTCTCGGTCCTATCTTGGCATTAAAATCACCCACAATGATCTTGTAGAAGGTGTGGTCTTCTTTATAGAACTTCTCCAGCTCCATGTAGAACTTCTCGATTTCTCTTTCATCATAATGAGATGTTGGTGTGTAGACAATGAAGATAGAAACTGCAGGCAGTGAGCCACATCTATTCAAATGTAAACGTCCGATTTGGGTTGTTAGGCATTCGAATGAATCAATGCTCTTGGCCAAGAAGGATGAGAAAGGGGCTTCTCACCGATCCTCAAAACCTCACTCTGAGAGGTTCATTTTGGCATTTAGGAATGAGATAGGGAAGGGAACAGAAGAACTAGGAGCATTATGAATTCATATTTTTTTCCTTTTTGAATCACACCCAGCAATGCTCAGGGGTTACTCCTGGCTTTGCACTCAGGAATTAGTCCAGGCAGTGCTCAGGGGACCATATGGGATGCCGGGAATCGAAACTGGGTTGGCCGCGTGCAAGGCAAACACCCAACCCACTGTACTATAGCTCCGGCCCCTATGAATTCATATTTTTTAATTAATAAGGAGGTAGCAAGGCTGAGAGGCAAAACTATTAGCAGTTGGAGCAAGACAAACTATTACTAACTTTTTTGGTAGAACTTTCCTGGACATGTTTTCATTATGCCACTGATGCCACTAACATGAGGGCAGAGAATCCACCTTCCCCAGGGACACCTCTCACCTGGGTGAGAGCCCAGAGGCAGGCAGCTCTCCCCATTGCTGCCCCAGTGCCTAAGTGTGTTTGGCATTGAACAGGACTTGGTACATACCTGACAGTTGCATTGAAAACAGAAGGGAGAAGGAAGTAAGGAAAAAAGGGGAAAGAGAAGGAAAAAGAGAGGTCAATGGGCTGAGAGGCACCACTCTGTATAGGGCACTTGCCTAGAGCACAGTCAACCTGGATTTGATTCCTGTCATCCCATGGATCCCCTGAGTAGGAATTCCTGAGCGCATAGCAAGGAGTATATACCCCTGAGCATTGCCAGTATATCCCCAAAGCAAAAAGGGGAATGTACATTATTTTAGTTAGTTGATTAATACACTTGTTAATTGGGTGAAGTCATATTTAGAGTATAACCTGATTTGGCTATCCATGGCATCAATGGGAGAATAAAAATAAAGTTATACTGCACCATGAAGTCTTTGAATAGGGGAATACTTAAAATCCTAGCTAAAGAAGAAATATTCAGAGTAATAAAAACGTACACATTATTTCTTATAAAGTAATCAGAGATTTCAGGTGACACTTACTAAATCTCTATGAATGAAACGGTTTCTCTCCAGATACTCCATTCCTTCGCATATATCCTGGCACATGCTCAGGAGCACTTCCTTCCTAAGATTTCCTTTTCTCTCCCGGAGGTAGTCAAGCAGGCAGCCTTTTTCCATGAACTCTGTCACAATATACAGGGGCTTCCTCTGAATACACACTCCGTAGAGCTGAACCAGACGCGGGTGAGATAATCTCCTGATTGGAGAAAAACACTGTCATGAAGGGCCAGAGAGATAGTTCAGTGGGTAGGGTGCTTGTCTTGCATGTGTTCAACTGATGTTTAATCCTCAGCATCCCATATGGTCCCCTGAGCCCCCCAGGAGTGATCCCTGAATGCAGCGCCAGGAGCAAGCCCTGAAATAGGAGACAGGGTTGTGTGGCCCAGTGGTTGGGTTCATGTCTTGCATGTGTGATGCCCTGGGTTCAATTTCTGGCACTGTCCACAAATAATAAAATAGAAATTAAGCCATGCAGTGGTGGGGGTTGAACCCATAAACAAATATTCTTGTATTTTTACCCAAAACATACAAGAACATTAATTCAAAGAGAGACATGCACTCTCAGCTTTTTTTCTAGCATTATTTACAATAGCCAGAACTGGAAACACCAAGTGCACATAGGACTAGAGAGACAGTACAGGGGTTAAGAAGCCTGTTTTGTACAGACTGTACCCAGTTTGAATCCCAGCAGCCATATATAGTTCCTCGAATTTCACTAGGAGTAATCCTTGAGCACATAACCAGGGATAAAACCTAAGCACCACTGGGTGTGGCCCCCAAGCAAAACAAAAGTGGTATATCTACCCAGTGGAATATTACTCAACTGTTAAAAAGCTAAAACCTGTTATGGTGGGTTTAGGGTAAAATCATTGGAGATTCAACCCCAGCAGCAAAATAAACAAAAGCAGAAATAAACAAATTAAACCACATCAAACTAAAAATCTTCTATAGAGTCAAATAAACCACCACACATCACAAAGGTGATTTAATGTCTGGAAAAAGATTCCTGGACGTCACACATTCAAAAAGAAGTTAACAAGCAAAATATGTAAAGAACTGAAACACCAAAACCAAAAAATGTCTATTTTTTAAATGGAAGAGAATAGAAAGAATTGTACAGTGGGAAAGGAGCTTGCCTTGCATGCAGCCAATCAGCTTTGATACCAGGCACCATAAATGATCCCCGAGCCCTGCCTGGGAACGACCCCTGAGCACCACCACATGTAGCTCACTCCCGAAATTATGAAGAGACTCTTCTCCAAATACACCATATAGATGGCCAACAGCTATACCGAGAAAAGTTCAACATCATTTATTATGAGTTAAATGCAAATCAAAACCTAGTGAGATATCACGTCAGATCTACGAGAAAAACCTTTATGAAAAGACTAAAAACAAGAAGAGTTAGGAAGACTGTAAAATTGTTGGTGAGAATATGAATTGGAATTACTTGTTTGTAGAACAGTATAGAGATTTTTTTAAAACCTGAAAATAAAGAATGCCATGTCAACCAGCAAGATCAAGGAGCATTTTCCGGTTCTTAAGCATGATTATTGGGTGTTCATGTGTTTGAGTGACATGTGCCTCCCTTAAATCTTGTTAAGCATTTGGCACATTACCCATCTGACATGAACTTAAAAACAAAAAGAGATCACTATGAAGCTCTGAAGCTCTATTCAAAGGAAATGCAAACAGTTTTGAAAGGATACACACACACACACAGACACACACACACACATTTGAAAGAATATATGTACTCAAGTTATAGCATTATTCACAACAGCCAAGAAACAACCTAATATCTATCAACAAATGACTAAGTAAAGATGCTGAATATACGCACTCAGCGGAAAGCTACCCAACTATTGGGAAAAAATGAAATCTCACTTGTTTCGACAACATGGATAAAATTTGAGGTGACTGTGATAAGCAGAAGATGCCAGATAATGAAATATAATTACTAAATGATCTCCCTCAAATTTGGAATGTGAGCAAATAAAGCAAGATAACAAAACACTGCAAAAATACTCCAATTCTGTGAAAAAATAGGGTGTTTCTAGAGGAAAAAGGGAGAAGGAAGGAAGAATAACGGGTAGGAGGGGTCAATTTGATAGTCAAATGGCACTGCAATTTTGGTGATGGGTGGAGTGAGATATATGCTCATATGGTAGTGCAAATCTGTACTCCTGAAACCTCTATTACAAATGGTAAATCAATACAATTTTATTTTTTTAAAAATAGCAGTGTCTCATTGATCCAGAAGTAGACATTTTTTTCTAACACCATTTTACAGGTGAGAAATAGCTTGTAGGAAAGGTGACATAACTTATGCAGGTCACATCGAGACCTGCCGTCAACCAAGAATAGAAAGCAAGGTGACAAAAAGTCCTGTGCAGCTGATGCCGAAGTTCACATTCCTTCAAGGACACCAAGTGTTTGCACTTCCTCTCTGTGTTTATACTTACATCATCACTTTAGCCTCCTCAATGAAATCCTCTTCAGACATGGAACCTTCGTTAATGGCCTTGATAGCCACATGGACACGTGCCCTCCATTTTCCTAAATGGACCACGCCAAACTGACCACTTCCAATCTCTCTTACAAAAGACAGCTCAGATGGGTTAATCTCCCACTTTTCTGGAAAAGTCAAACAAATACTTATGCACTCAGCCAGCCCAGGTTCAATCCCCAGCATCACATATAGTCCCCCACCCGCTATCAGGAGCGAACCCTGAGCTCATACATATAATAATGACATAACCCTCTTGAAATTGCAGAGAAGTACCATGTCTCAATTTTTTAAACCTCTTTTTGTATATCACCACTGTCACCTGCTGGAACTTTTGAGTACTGCATTTAAAGAATTCTAAGGGATAGAGTATCCTTGTACCAGCTTTGCAAAATGCAGTCATTGTTTTTATTTGTTTGGTTTTTTTCCTAAGCAGTGTTTGGGGAACCATGGTGCTTTGGTCAGGAATAAAGCTAGGGCTCCTGTCTCAAAGCATGTGCTCAAGTCCTTTTTTAGTATTTCCTTGGCCTTAATATCTGCTGGCTTAAAAGTAATATCGGAGAATATATTTATGGCCTGGGGATTGGCATGCATTTATTCAGCAGAGCAGAACTATAAAGGAACACAATTATAAATAGCACTGCAGCATGTAACACTGTCCTCCTGTTGTTCATCGATTTGCCCAAGCGGGCACCAGTAACTTCTCCACTGTGAGACCTGTTACTGCTTTTGGCATATCGAATAGCCACGGGGAGTTTGCCAGGCTCTGCCATGCGGGCAGGATACTCTCAGTAGCTTGCCGGGCTCTCCGAGAGGGATGGAGGAATCAAACCCAGGTCAGCCACATACAAGGCAAACGCCCTACCTGCTGTGCTATCGCTCCAGCCCAATGATAAATAATATTTAATAAACTTGTGTTCTTCCTGAATGGAAAGTAGCTCCAATGGTTGAGCACATTCCTTTCATGAAGGATCCCCAACTTTGATCTGCAGCACAGAGTCCCCCAACACATCGGGAGTGACCCCTGAACACCAGTCATAGCAACCCCCAGTGCCACTAGAAGTGGCCAAAAACCAAAAAGAAAAAAATTTCTCTATTAAATATATCCCAATTAAAAGTAAAAATTAAGCCAAAGATTTGGAGAAAATATTTCCAAAATATGTACTGAACACTGAGCAAACAATTTCTACTCAGAATTTGAATAAATTAATCTAAAAAGACAAATCACTCTGTTTTTAAGGGTTAAAATTTTGAACAAAATAGTATCTTACCAAAAAAAAAATTCAAGTGGGTGGCCACTTGGCCATGTAAAAATTGATTAACGTAATCTGTCATTAGAGAAATAAGTATATTTAAGATGTAGTGATCATCAGACACCCTAAAGGAGATGTAAAACATAAAAATAATAAATATTGACAAGGACAAAAGTGCAGAGTAACTAGAAATCTTGTCACAACACTGACTCAAAAAATTTTAATAGAAGCCCTTTGGACTAAATCTGAATATGTACATACCCTCTGACCCATCAATTCTACTATTTGGTACATACTCAACACTGTTGTGTTGGAGTTGAACATCAAAAAACATGTAAAGAATAATAGTAATACTTGATAGAGGATAAAAAGGGTTGTACAAAGAAAGAATGGTGACTCAGTGGTTGTATACTTGGGCCACAGATCACTACATTCCTATCGTAAAACCCATTCACATCTAACACCATGGGTGAAATTCACAGATGGGATGATGAGAGAAAGAAAGAGGTCAGATACAAAAGAAGACACACTGTTCAAATTAATTTTACATAAAAGTAAAAAATCAAGCAAAAATGAATAAAGATACAAACATATGAATAGCGTACCCTTTTGTATTTTGGAAATGAATTTTTTTAAGTAGAAACAACACAACTGAAGAATAGGTAATAAAATAAGTATTTTTTTAAAGTAAAGAAAAGAAAAGAACTTTTGGGGGGACAGAGAGATAATCCAAGGATTAAGGCTTTTTCCTTGCACACAGTTGAGCTGGGTTCAATCTCCTTTATTGCATGTGGTCCCCTGAGCACAAAGCCAGGAGTAAGCCCTGAGCACTGCTCGATGTGGCTCCAAAACAAAACCCAAAAACTAAATTTTCAAATTATATATTATTTAACTTAATAAGTTATAAGTAACAAAACTTTTATTATATAGATGTATACATATGTATTATTTATGGGGCAAATAGTAAGCACCTATAACATTCTGAATTCCTTTTCTATCCAATTAAAATAAAGAATCTGAGTCCTGGTTATTGTTGCGCAATATAATTACATCACCATTTTTTAGTAGATTCTGAATCCCATTAGTGAGAAAAGTTGAAGAGAATAAAGTGCTGCCATATTAAAAAATAGGTATCCTTAGCTCTTATTCTCACAGATTTTTCAGAACCACAGTTGTTAGAAAAGGGACAGACTAAACTGCACAACTTCTATTTGAAATATCTGCAGAGGATACTTTCAGCTACTCTTTTTGGTTGATAATTGAAGACCTGTCACTCTTATAGCCTAGAAAAAACAACAGCCCAAACGTTCAAGAAAAAGAAAATGTTGTCAGGAAGCCAGAGTGATATCGTAGCCGATAGAGCATTTGTCTTGCTCCTGACTGACCTTGGTTTGATCCACCAGTTGTGCCCCACCCCCGCCCTGCCAAAAAAAAAAAATAATAATTTTTTTAATGTGTCAAAAGAGTTTCCAGTAATGTATAATGAAATTTGAAATAGAACTAAGACATTTATCTCCAAAGTTTAGATGGTCTTATAAGATGCATATATGAAAGGTAAGGTAAAGGCCCTCCCGTTGTTCATCGATTTGCTCAAGCGGGGGCCCGGTAACGTCTCCATTGGAGATTTTTGTTGTTACTGTGTTTGGCATATCAAATACATCACGGGTGGCTTGCCAGGCTCTGCCCTGCGGGCAAGATACTCTCGGTAGCTTGCCGGGCTCTCCGAGAGGGGCAGAGGAATTGAACTCGGGTCGGCCATGTTGGCTGCGTGCAAGGCAAACGCCCTACCGCTGTGCTATCGCTCCAGCCCAAGATGCATATATTAAACATCAAAAAAGGGGCTTTAAACTTTGAAAAGGGATCTAGTTAGACACCAGGAGTGATGAGAACTTCAAGAGCATCTCAAGACTGTTTCTTCCACTGGATCTGATATTTGACATGAGCACACATGCCGACGTTACCATAGCTAAATCCAGCAGTGGCTGGCAGACAGCTGCCCATTAGTCCAACGGGGTAGCGGAGACGGGTCAGGAGGCCTAGAGAGAAAGGGAAATCAGCATTACAAACCTATACCAGGGGGGAAAAAACACCAAAACATACAAGTCAAGACTTCTCTTTAACTAAAATAAGCAAAAATTATTCTCCAGTCCTGTTTATTTTTTCCACTTGAAGCACACTTTTCATAACTAAAATATGTTCACTGAATATAAGTGAAAGAACCCTAGAAAACGTAAAGATGAAATAAAAATCCCACATGAAACCTTAGCACCCAGAGCTATGTAGCTACCATTTTGATGAATCTTTATAAGATTTTTTTTTTCTTTTTGGGTCACAACTGGCGATGCACAGGGGTTACTCCTGGCTCTGTACTCAGGAGTTACTCCTGGCAGTGCTCAGGGGACCATATGGGATGCTGGGAATCGAACCCAGGTTGGCCGAGTGCAAGGCAAACACCCTACCCTCTGTGCTATTGCTTCAGCCCTGTAAGAATATTTAAAGATTTGCATGCTCCAGACAGGAAAAAAAAAGCATGTGCAAAGACTGGAAAACAGAAGCTAACTTGGCCAATAATAGAAAGAAGCATCAATGTCCATTGTGTGCAAAACCCTCAGCTAGGCAGATTAAAAGATGCTAAAAGCTCCCAAGAGGAACAAACACACACAGACTCCATCTCAACCGGGGAGGAAAGGCAGATAAAGGCAAGTACAGCATTAATAATAATAATAATAATAATAACAGTAAGTCCTGTTATAGGCATACAGAAGGTAATCTGAGCTCCAGAGAAAAGTTGCTTCATACATTGTTGGATTCCACTGCTGAGACCACTCTTCGCACACATGAAGGTACCGGCAGAGGGACAAAGCCAC